AGTGGAACCATAGTAGTCCTGGTGTGCCTGGTCATTGTGCATCGTGCCTGCATCGAACATCATCTTTTGATCCCGACCCTCGTCCGCTCGAGGCCCAGCAAGGTGAGCGTCGTGCAGGTGAGCCACAAGCGCGGTCGCATTCTCGCAGACCTGGCCGCAACCGGCCCATTGACAGACATGAACGGAGGACGTGGACGAGGAGTGCAGCCACTGAGCGGGAGCTGAGTCTTGATGTGAAGGACGTCGAGAGTGGCTGACCGAGCTCGGAGAAGACACGTACTGAATGGTCTGGTTCGCTTGAGGAGACCATTCGCGAGGAACAATGGGCCAGCCTTGGCTTGAGCTAGGTCTGGCGCTGCCACCTGAGACAGCAGGGCTCATGAAGTCGCCTCCATGATTGCGCATATGATCCACGTGGTGGCCGGAAGGGTCACAAATCGTCAAAGCTGGAGCAAGACAGAGGCCCTCGGCATCATGTGCGTGCGGTGGACGCTCACTGCATGCCGTGTGAAGCCCATCGCGACTGCCAGGAAGCTGATTGAAAGGTCTGGGAGACGATCGAGCCGATGCAATCGGCGTTGAGATGCTAGAGAACCTGGAGTGGCCAGAAAGGAATGCAGAGCGCATCGTCGTGTCGTGGAATGGCCTCTTGATCGATCGCCCCTCATTGGACATCTGCCCAGCCATATGCGCCGTCCAGTCAACCTCGCCGGAATGAGGTGTACTCGTCTCGCTGAGCCCGCTTGTCAAGCTCACCGTGCTGGCGGACAAACTTGGTGCAGGCGACTGGAAACTGAGAGTAGATGCGCCAGTAGAAGACCGGGGCCGAGTATGGCTAGCTGAATGAGAGTGCATGGCAGCGAGCCGACCCTCACGAGCAGCCCATGCTGATGCTTGCGACACTGGCGACAGCGGAGCAGCTGAGCTCGCGGCGTTCTCCCAAGGACTCGTGGCCGTAGACATAGAGGTAGATGCACCAGGAGTAGACCCGCACAGAGCGACTGAAGAGCATCCTGCTCCACAAGGCACTGAGGCCGCGGATTGATCATAGCGCGCACCTGAGCAGTGATCTGCATCTGAATGTTCGGGATTGGAGGAATCCGCACAACAGCAGCATTCGAGCTAGACCGGCAAAGGTGCGACAATGTGTTAGTAATGAGAAGCGGTGTTTGTCGTGCTCTGTCGTTACAAGCGCACTCACCAACTCTTGGAAGGATTCGAAGACGCCTCTGCTATCATCGGTGCTGCACGTCATCAAAGGGCGACCAGCGCACGTTGTGGAAGCTTCGAGGGTGTGCGGTGCAACTAGCGTTTTACAATCCTCCTCCGTCGATGTGGGTACGTAGCCATCGCAGACGGTGACACAGCCAGAACCCGCAGCCGTGCTGCATGCCGGTTCTACGCAAATGTTGCTCTCGCAAATGTCGCCTTCGCACGGAATATCGGTGCATGCGTTGTGAGCTGCCAATGTGCCGGGCAGCGCGCAAGCGGGATCTGGGCAAGGTGAGTGCGACAGGTCACTGGAGGGGAATGTGTGTGGCTCCTTGCACGGCGTTACTGGACAAGCATCGTCGCAGCAGCTGTCTGCAGGAAGCGTAGTCGCAAAGTCGCGGCAGCACTCGTCGATGATGGCTGAAGTGCGCCCTTCTGAATCGGTTGTTGGACATTGTTCCGGGCACGCTGACCGGTGGCTGGAACTTTCGATGCCCGGCGCGATTGCGGTCACAGGTTCGACGCAGTCTGGGCAGTCCTCAGAGGTAAGAGCGGGTAGACGAGGAGAACAGCACCATGCATCGAGTTCCTTGCTCACGATCCCCAGCTCGGATCGGTCCATGACTTGTGCGGAGGTCTTAGCAAGCATGACAGCGTGTCCGTGGCCAAGAGCTGAGGCAGGACTGTAAGGCGTGGGAAGCGCTTCCGGATTCTGGATGGTGGCGAATGGGTAGAAACGTCGACGCCCACTGGGACTGAGGTATGTGCAGCGAGCAGGCGCGGCTGTATGCGTCTGCGTGAGTGAGAAGTGAGGTTCTGAGGTGTGCCTTGCTCGGTGCTTGGCTGCGCGCGAAAGCACTGGAGAGACTCGAGCTTTGGAGAGAGACGTCTGGGAAAAGGTCTGATGATGACACTCGGATCTTTTTGTAGGCTCCGAACCAATGTCTCTGATGGACGCACTGGCAGCGAACGTGCTTTGTCTTCAGCACGAGCAGCTGCTGGCCCCGCTTCCTGAGCCAGAAAATCAGCCTTGCTCTGACGCTTCTCGAGGCGCAGCCCGTGGACAAAATGTGAGACGGATCGTATCGTCGGCGGCGACGTCTTCGATATGGAAAGCTCGGTGCGGCGAGCGATTGCTTGTCTGATTGCTCGCGATCAGTCAGTGATGCTGCTGCTGGATGCTGATATCGCGACAAGGGCGCAAGAAGTGCCAGGGATCGGCGTTGGCTGGAGTGACGCAGCCCCGACACGAGCACCGGCGTCAGATTGGCTTGATGATTGGCCTAGCTGAAATGTGCGGGACTTTGTATAAGCACGCGAAGAGCGTGAGAGGCGGGTCGGTCTGCGCAAAGTTGCAAGGGGCTCTGTTCGTAGCTGAGCGCGCGCTGAGCGCATCCAGTCGAGTGCAGTATGGAGCCAGAATTGAATGATTGAGCGAGTGGCCGGGCAAGCGGAAATCAAGGTTGCAACACTTCAGCAAGCATTGATCTTTCTTTATCCCGGCCGAGGCCTTTCTTCTTGGACCGCAGACGGAATTGTCTGCGCAGAAGTGATGCAAGAATCAAGGAAGGGAGAGCTGCGAAAATTGTTCCTGCGGCGATGCAAGGCAAGTATGTTGGCGATAGACGAAACAGCGACCTCATCGGTGCGTGCATGGGTTGCGCAAATCCATGCGGAGAGCACGTGACTGCATGGGTTCGGGTGTGCGCGACTCTTGCATCTGGATTAACGTTTGAAAGCGGAATTTTTGTATCCCAGGTTGATCGGGACTTGGTGTCTAGTAGCAATCTTGAATCTCCGTCTTCTTAGATCGAAGGTCTGCAATTTCACGCCCATGAGCGCATACAAATCGTCATTCAAACGAACCAAAAGCAAGCTGTTCTTGATTCCAGAGCCCTTAAATAGACTGCAGGGGTCAGATATCAAATGCATTCAT